TACTCGATAGATAATGCCCTCTCCAAGGCCCAAAGCATTCCCTTCTGCACTGCTTGCTTCGGTTCCTTGTTCCAAGGTGAATTCGACAGGTACCGGCTCCTCGCCGGTGGCAAGCGATGGATGACGATCGATCTACAACGAGGTTCCGCGTGAAAATTAATGTGATGAGAAATTTAGTATTCTAAGTGAAGGTCAGTTTTACTTTTTCGCACTCAGAAAATTCTGAAAATTTTACTAAAAATCCGCAAAAATCAATATATCGACAAAGGCATTTGATACTTGTAATAAGATATATTATGTTTAAGCTCAGTGTACTCACTCGTCCACCCGTGTCACTTTCAGCTAAGCAAAAAATGCAGAAAAACAACGAATCAGTTTAAAAGTCTAGTGAGAATATGAAAGCAAATTTTTTGAGTCAAAAAGATTAAAACTGTTTTGAAATCGAAATGCACTGTGTGAAAAAAAATTTTTTTTGAGAATTCAAATAATTTCAGAGGAATTGTGCAAAACTAACTAAGAACCGTTCCAAAGAATTATTGGCTCAGATATTTATGTAGAGTTGAACATCTACGATTAGATTAAATGAAGCTTACCGTAGGGCGAGGCTCTGACACAAAGAAGTACAGGAATCCGATGAAGGACAGGTACAGTCCCCAGATCAGACCAGTGAAAAAACCTGAAGCACAAGGTACCCTCGATAACTCTCATAAACTGCATCGTGCCTTTACCTACCAGGAAGAACAAAAGTGACGGCGAGCAACGCTCCAAGAAACATCATTCTGTATTGAAAGAAGGGTAAACCCTTAAAGCGTTGAGCGATGTGGTTAACCATGAATGGATCCTTCTGAACTGATGATCATTATCACTGCGAAAAGTACTCGTAAACAATAAAAAGAAAGAAAGAAAATTTGGATGAAAGACATGGACAAAAAAACAAATAGAGAATGGAAAAAAACGAACATTGGCAGCCACCTTCTGCATCGCTACCTGTACCTTCTTATCTTCTTCAGGCACCATCAGATGTGGTGGGTTGATAATAAAGCACTGCGCAGCCGTCTCGGCCATCTCTGTAAACAAAAGGGT